AGGTTATGGGATATTTCTACTGCTCTGCATCAAGATCCTTCCTCTATTCTCTGCTCATGGTCCAATCTTAGGCATAATTCTATTATTTGGAGGTTCATTCCGACTGTTATTTTCTGGTCAATCTGGAAGGCAAGAAATCTGGTTGTTTTTGAAAATGGAAAATGTGACAGTTCAGTTCTGTATTTTATCACTAGATTTAGATTGACGAAATGGTTCTTAGCTAAACATCCTTTGGTTCGGATTCAAATAGACCTTTTAGTAGGGGATCCAACGAGGGCAGATTCTTTTCTCATTACTTCTGGTCCTAAAAAGGTTATTGGTTGGTCTCCTCCTCCAGCGGATATGTTTAAACTCAATGTTGATGGAGCAGTGACTGGCGATGGGATGCAAGGGGGTATTGGTGGTGTCTTGAGAAACTCTTTCAGCGGCTCTTTAGCTTCTTTCTCTTCTGCAGTAGGGCCTGGTTTGCCTATTTTGACTGAACTGAAAGCTATTAAGGAAGGATTGAGTTTTTTCTATTCCTCAAATTGGGCTAAAAAGGGAAGACTTATTATTGAGAGCGACTGCAAATGTGCAGTGGATTGGATTTTAAAGCTGCAACATGCCCCTTCCTTTTTCAGTGATCTGGTGGAGGATATTGAAGCTCTTATTACTGCTAAGGGGGTCGTTCTTAGATGGATTTCCAGGAGTTGTAATTTGGAGGCTGACAGGTTAGCTAAGCAGGGGATCGGTTAAGTGTAACAGGCTTCTTGTAATGTTTTGTGCTTTTTCGATGGGTTTTGTTGTGGTTGATCCTTTGTAATAGTATTGCTAGTTTGGGAATCAGGACTCACCCTCTGATCTAGGGTACTGCTGTGTCGGTTTTGAGTAGGTTTTTGTTATAGTTTTGGTTTGCTTTGGGTTTTGAGCGCTTTATGTTGATTATTGTTTGATGGGGGTGTGGTCCTGGTTGTTTCCTATGTATTTTATGTTGTTGAATAAAATCCTAAGGCTCTCTTTTCCTCCTTCCAATGATTAAGGAGCTTTCTCCAAGCTCTATTAATTATGAAGGGGGTTTTTAACGAGGCCTTCAATTCTTATAAAAAAAATAGATGATTACTCTAGGACAACATGGGTTTTCTTAATGAGAAAAATCTGAGGTTGAATATCTCTTTAAAAGTTTTTATCAAAAAGTTGAAACCCAATTTGACACAAAAATCAAAATTCTAAAGAGTGACAATGGGAGTGAGTATTTGAATAAAACCCTTGGGTATTTCTTTAAGGAAAAAGGCATTGTTCACCTTCTTCTGTCAACACACCTCAACAAAACGGGATAGCAGAAAGGAAAAATAGACATCTTCTAGAGGTTACTAGGTCTCTTATGTTTGCTGCTAATGCTCCTAAGTATCTTTGGGGGGAAGCTCTTCTTACAGCCACTTACCTCATCAATAGAATGCCAAGTAAGACCTTAGATTTCAAAATTCCTACTAAGGTTCTGTTTCAGTTGTATCCCCATTTTAAACATTTAAACTCAAGTCTTTCTCCTCGGGTGTTTGGGTGTACAGCCTTTGTTCATATCCACAACAGAGGGAAATTAGATCCTAGGTCCATAAAGTGTGTGTTCTTGGGCTATTCTTCGAGTCAGAAGGGTTACAAGTGTTACTCACCTTCCACAAAAAAGACCTATGTCTCCTTTGATGTTACATTTTTTGAAAACCAACCTTATTTTTCAGGAACAGAAATTCAAGGAGAGAGTTACAAGGAGTTTCAGCCTGTTCAAACCGATATTTCTTTACAGCCTATTAGTTACAAGGAATTTCAACCTGTTCAAACCGATATTTCTTTACAGCCTATCCTTTCCTTACCTATTACTGTCTCTCCAAAGCCGGCTAGCACAGTCCCAGTTCCCAGGGAGGGTGATGGGAATAACCTAAATAACTCTGATGAATTACATTCCTCCTTATCTCAGCACTCTAGTCCGTGCAAAACACCTTCCACCACTACCAAAAATGCACCTAACAATGACCATGAAACCATAACTCCCCAACCGAAACAACTCAGTGTTTACTCAAGAAGAAGGAAAGATGTTGCTGAAGAAATCAGTCAGCCTAGCATTTGCCAAAAACCAGATTCGGATCCTGTTGCAGCTGAAACAGAAGTAATGATGGTTACCAAGAGGCTATTACTGTTGATCTTGATGACTTTCCTATTGCTATTAGGAAGGGGGTAAGAAAATGCACTGCTCATCCCATAAATAAGTATGTTGCATATGGGAAATTACAGTCTAATTTCAGGGCCTTCACTGCCAGCATTAACACTGTGAAAATCCCAAGAAATGTGACAGAAGCATTTCAATCTCATGAGTGGAAAAAGGCTGTGGAAGAAGAGATAAAAGCGTTGCAAAAGAATAAGACATGGAGTTTGACAGATTTGCCAAAAGGGAAGAGAGCTGTTGGATGCATGTGGATATTCACAGTCAAATATCATTCGGATGGGAGTGTGGAAAGATACAAGGCAAGGCTGGTTGCTAAAGGTTTTTCTCAATCCTATGGCATCGACTACCAGGAGACTTTTGCACCGGTTGCAAAATTGAATACCATAAGAATATTGTTATCAGTAGCTGTTAACATGGACTGGAAATTGCATCAGCTGGACATAAAGAATGCTTTTCTGAATGGGAACCTTGAAGAAGAGGTATACATGGAGGTCCCCCTTGGATTAGAAGGAAAGGTCACTAAGAAAACTGTGTGCAAACTTAATAAATCCTTATATGGCTTAAAACAGTCTCCCAGGGCTTGGTTTGATCGATTTGCTAAGGCTATGACACAGAATGGTTTCAAACAAAGCCAAGCGGATCACACATTATTTAGAAAAATTACACCGAGTGGTAAGATAACCCTCCTAATTGTCTATGTAGATGATATGATTATAACTGACAGTGATATAGAAGAAATAGAAAAGCTAAAGATGAATCTTGCAAAGGAGTTTGAAACCAAGGATTTAGGGAGTATGAGGTATTTCCTGGGTATGGAAATTGTAAGGTCCGAGGAAGGGCTGGTCATAAACCAACGTAAGTATGTTTTGGATCTTCTTGTAGAAACTGGGATGCTCGACTGCAAACCAGTTGAAACTCCAATAGAGCCAGGCTTGAAATTTTGCAAGGAAAGGACTGAAAATCCAGTAAACAAGGAAACCTACCAAAGGTTAGTTAGGAAGTTAATCTACCTTTCACTGACCAGGCCTGATATTGCATACTCAGTGAGCATTGTCAGCCAACATATGAGTGATCCTCGAGAAGAACATTTGGAAGTTGTTAACATAATTTTAAGGTTCTTGAAATTTACCCAGGAGCTGGACTTATATTTAGAAAAAATCAAGACAGAACAGTGAAGGTTTATACGGATGCAAGCTGGGGAGGTGAATTAACTGATAGAAGGTCAGTTAGTGGCTACTGTACCTACGTTTGGGGTAATTTGGTGACTTGGAGAAGTAAGAAACAAGTTGTTGTCTCTCGAAGTAGTGCTGAGTCAGAGTTTAGAGCAATGACTCTCGGAATATGTGAAGGAATGTGGATTAAAAGACTGCACACATAACTGGACTTAGATGACAAGAAGAATTTTGAGATTTTTAGTGACAGTCAATCAGCTATGAGTATAGCAAAAAACCCAGTGCAGCATGATAGAACGAAACACATTGAGATAGACAGACATTTTATTTACGAGGTCAACAATGGAGTTGCAAAACTGCAGTACATTCCGACGAAGAAACAGCTGGCAGATATCTTCACCAAAGCCCTTCCACGAGTGACTTTTGATGAGATGTCATTCAAACTGGGTATATACAACATATATACACCAGTTTGAGGGGGAGTGTAGGAATTATAGAAAGGAGTTGTCAATCCCTTAAGTTAAGAGATTCTGTAATTATTTTCTGTTTTTCAATCCCTTATTTCAAGGGATTACATCTCCTAGGATTAGTTTCCTTTCTTAGAGTTTCCTAGTTTAGAGGCATAATTTGTATATAAATATGTAATATGTTCTACTGAATGTACACAAGAATAAAATAATAGACTTGTCTGTTTTCTACAGTCTGTTTTCTACACAGTCTGTTTTCTACAATAACAAAAAGGGAGAAAATTAATATGCAGATTTTACTCGAGAAAAAACCTACTCAGGCCCAGGTGCTAATTTCAGCTGCTTCAACCTTCAAGATTATAGATGCCCCAACCCCCAACCCCAACCCCTAGAAAAAAGGTAAGGTGCCTTTACCAAGGCAGAGAAACTCCTACACTAAGCATCCATTTTTCAAAGGAGAGTAACACCTAAAAGGAGCATCTCATCAACACATCCTCACATGCAATTTTTATATTTAAAGAATTGAACCTTGCAAAAAGGGGGGTATGCCTATCTCTCTACAGTCTATGGTATAACGATTAATTTCTCTTTTTCTCCAATACACAACACATCTAATACTGATTCTACACATAAAAAATAACCACTGATAAAAAAACAAAGTATACATATGTCATCGCATAACAATACTTCACCCACTGGTTAATTGAAATATCTATAAGCAGGGTTTTAAATAACGTTCGCGGTCACGTCACGTTTATCACGGTTGTGGATATAACGGATGCTATTGCAGATATCACAATCGTGAATTTTTTTTCCGAAGGAGCTGTTTTTTTTAATAAAAAAAACCTGTTTTAAAAAAAATTAAAATAACAAAATAATAGCGGAATAACGGTCCGCCATTGCCGCGATAGGCCGCGATCCTTTAAATTGTGACCGCGATCCGCCGCTATTGGTGTGATCTCGCTTCACACCGTTATTTTCCGCGATAGCGGTTTCGGAAACCGCCGCGACCGCGATATAACGGTCGCGATACCGCTATTCGGCCGCTATTTGAAAACCAGTCTATAAGTGCTTAGAATCATTAAATTAGAGAAACAAAAGAACGATAGCCAAAGTAAATTTAAAACTAAGATAGGGAGAAGAGGATTCAAGATTGGTAGAGCGTACATGTTTCCAAAGCTGTTTTTAGCATATGATCCACCCTCATTGCCAGCATACATAAAAAGAGATCCAGAGTGTTTAAGTGAAACCTGCAGTAATTTCAAATGTATAAGAATTAAAAATTGTTTTCAGAACAAAAGTAATAAAAAAAATAACCTTCCATTCAGTTGTCACTTTCTACTTGCTGCTTATGGAAATTTTGAACTAAAATCTTGAGAATACAAAGTATAAAACTAATTTAACATAGAACAATGTAGTTTAAATACTTACATTAATAATCATTTACTCAATTTCTAACAAATGGTACGATTCTGCATTTTGTTTCCTACTCTTTCCATTTCCATTTCCATTTGAGTAACTTCCCAGGGAAGCATCAAAATCAACTCCTAGAGGAACTTAAAAGAAACCATCTTAAAGTTAACATGTCAATGGCCTTTTTGAAATGGTGTACAAAAACCTTAGAGCTAAAAGAAGCATAAGCTTCTGAGTAAAGAACTTTCACCACTATTCATTTTTCCCTTTTTTTAAAATAAAGGTAAAGTGTTGCGTGATCCATACCTCCAAAGTAGCCAAACCTTTAGACACCATCTCGATCATCCGTATCCTAATCTAAACACAATATATAACCATAATTAAAACTAGTAAAGGCAAAAGAGTTCAAATCGCTTCCTTATCCAAAAAGATGAATTTTTTTAAAGAAACGGTTTACCTCTTGATCAGACTTTTCGTTCTCAAATTTCGGGTAAAAAGAAGCTCTGATTTGTGCGAGTGAATAAGTCGAATTATCAACTTTGAAGTTTTCTAACAAATTAGAATTCAAAAAGATTTTACTCAAATCAACACTTCTCTTCTCAGTTTGAACATCAACATGGGTAGCGGTAGCACTAGCGTCAGCGGAGTTGGATCCACTCACGGTTCCATATGACTTCGGCTTCCAAATTTGTCCCTCAGAGATACTCAAACCACCGAATTTGGTAGTAACGGCTTCATCAACCGATGCGGAAGCAGATGTAACGGCTTTCGGCTTTGACTTGGGCTTCCATTGTTGTTTTCTATTTTCACCGCCTCTTCGCTGCATACAAAATCAGAAGAACAAAAAAGTTTCTTTTCAGCAAAACAAGGGAAACAAACACTAGTTTCTCATGATTAAATTCAAAGGGAAGTAGTATTACCTGATTTTGGGACATGATTAGAGTAGAGAACTGGCGAGAGCGAGAGAAAGGAAAGCAATAAAAAGAAAAAAGAGTGGGCGTATGAGCAGATGGATGGGTGAGTGTGCAGAGAAATCTTCGCGAGGCCGACATTCAATATTTGGAGAAATGGAGGTTTTGTTAAATATACAAGGCGTAACCGCCTAAGCCTAAGACTGGTACAAACTATTCTGTTACACTAAAGAAACAGCAGCTCTCGTAAAATATTCCGTTACCCTAGTGGATTAACACACTTGCGCCCGGAGAAGGTGGACTGGCCCACTTGCGCCCGGAGAAGGCGGACTTTCAGTTTATTTTTTATAAAATTTTTGATCTCTCATATTGTGTTAAACATTTAAGAGAACTTTTTTATAGATAAGTTGTGTATATAATTTTGTATACTTAAATCTTTAAAATTTAAAATTTATTTTTAAACTATACAAATTAAACTGTAAGTTCTATTTTCAGACGTTAAACCTAAACCTTAAATTAAATAAACATTAAAGTTAATAATAGTATAAATAAGGAAACTACAATAAATTTAATTTTATGAAGTCCAACTAAATTAAATAAACAAAAAATCTAATGTAAAACAAAATAAATGGAAAAATATCGACGTGCCCTTCAACTTCACAGATGTATTCATGAGATAACTACCAGTCTCATATGCATCTGTCAAAAAAATAAAATTCTCTATAAATTTTAACAAAAATTTATTATAAAATATAATTTATATAAAATATAAAATTAACGAGAATGAAATTATATATAAATGGTAAATAATTTAAAATATTTAGAAATTAAAAAAACCAAAACTTGTTAATTTTTTTTAAAATATTTCGTGAAGGGAATAAATGCGCAGATCATTTAACAAACATAGTTCAGTACTAACATGAAACTCTCGTTATTTTAGATGAGCCTCCGACTATCATTATCCCGATGGTGAATGCAGATGCTAGGGGAGTAGGCACTTTGAGAGTGTAGTTCTAATTATTTTTCTTTCCGTTATTTTACTTAAAAATAACTTTTTAAAAATATTTGAAAATATTTTATTTTTAATTTTTTATATCAGAGTTTTTAATAGTAACACGTTATGTTTTTATAATCGTGTGACATCATTTTTTTAATAAAAACGACGGATATTATGAAAACATAAAAACGATGCGTATTACACAAAGCAAATAAAATTGAGTCTGTAACCTAAAGCTTGTCCTAAATCAAGCAAAATCCTTGCATCCGGCTGTTCATTCTCCTCACCCATATCCAGATTTTCCACTGAAGCGCCTCTGTGAAAAAGATTGTGGTAAAATTAATCCTTTCCATAACCTGATTCTTTGGTCTAAGATGGGTCTATCCACCTTCGATCCTCCGCCGCCTGTTGTGTCGCGTTCTCGGGGAGTTCCTCCACCCAATATATCTCATCTTCTTCTATTTCTGCGTTTGTGGCCATCAGGTGGGCTACTTTGTTTCCTTCTCGGAGGAAAAATCGAAACTCACTGTGGGATAGAGTTTTTGCTCGTTGTTGTTCCTTCCAGACGAGTGCGCTGATCTCCGAGTTGTCTGGATACAACGAGGTGAGTCGTTTCGTCACCGACCGAGAATCGCCTTCCAGTATCACTCGTTTAAATCCTAAGTCGTTCGCTAGTTGTATTGCATGGGTCGCCGCTATTGTCTCTGCCGCAAATGCTGATGGGATTCGGTGTGTGACTCTTCTGCTTGCACCTATCTCGAAACCTAGATGGTTTCGAATTACAACGCCTGTTTGACATTTACTCTTACATTTTGAAGCTTGCATGGTAGTTTACTTTTACCATGTCTGGGGGTGGCGGAGACCATCTTATTGTGGCTAGTGATTGCTGTCTTGAGTTCAATGCATTTACTCGATCAAATTCTTGGGTTTTGCTTCGAATCAGGGTAATTATCTCTTCGCTCCTAATGTCTTTGCCTTCATGGATTCGTATATTAATACCTCTGTTCGTTTCTGTTTCGAGGTGTGCTCAAAAATCCAATTCAACCACTCCTTAAAAGTCCAGCTGCTAGAAGGTGGTGGCCACAGGTATAGTAGCTTCTGCCATACCAGTTGAGCCAGAAAACAATCCTTGAATATGTGAATGCTAGACTCAATTTTGTCTGGGCACAATGTACAATGTGGATCATTGATAATGCTTCTGTTGAATAGCATCTGTCTTGTTGGTACATAATTGTGGTAGTGCTTCCATGCTTTGATTGTGATTTTTCTACAGTTGGATGTCCATAGTTTTCTAAATATTGCATCCTTTGTATCATTATCCTTTGTTGTTGCCTGTAATAGTTTATATCTGCTGTGCACCGTGTATTCACCAATATGCTCACCACTCCACACTTGTAAGTCCTGTTGATCTTTGATATGGGAATTGATTTGATGTATGTTGCTTCCGAGTCAATGAAAATTCGATTGATTACCTCTTCGTGCCACTATTTTAAAATCGGGCAGATTAACTCAGCTACTCTTTCATACTCAACATTCCGTGTGGAAGTTATCTGTTTTGGTATTCCTTTCGGTAGCCAATAGGCGCTCCAACTAGAAATATTTAACCCATTACTCGTTTTCCACCGTAGTCCCTTCTCTAGCAAACCTTTAGAGCTCCTAATACTTCTCCATATGTAGGATGCTTGGGAACCTAAATTAGCGTTCAGAAAAGTTGTAGAGGGGAAATACTTTACTCTTAAAACTCAACTAACCAAACTGTTTGGATTAGTGTGAATTCTCCAAGCTTGTTTCGCAAGTAAGGCAATGTTGAATTTTGCAAGGTCTCGAAAACCCATTCTACCATTCTCTTTTAACTTGCTGAGTTGTTCCCATTTACACCAATGGATGCCTATTTTCTTCTCGGATTTTTACCACCAGTATCTCTACATTATGTTCTCAAGTTTTGTGCATAAAGTCTTTGGCATAAAAAAATAATTCATTGCATAAAGTGGTAGTGCTTGTAAGACTGATTTAATAAAAACCTTATTTCCTCCTTGAGTGAGAGATTGAACACTCCATGTTTTAATCCTGGTCCAGAATCTTTTCTTCATCGAGATAAACGCTTTTTTTAGTATGTCCGACTATGGTTGGAAGTCCTACCTGTTTCTCCAAATTTGTTGTATTTTCCACTACCATTATACGATGAACATCCTCTCTATTTGAATCTCATACATTAGAAATAAAAATAGTCTTGATTTGTCAATATTGACAGCTTGACCCGAGCTTCATCCATATGCTCGGAGGATTTCTTTTAGTGCACCCGCCGCTCGTGTCGTTGCTTCACCGAAGATCAAGCAATCGTCTGCAAATAGCATATGTGAGACAGGGGAGCATACATGTTTATTCTAATTCCTTTTAACATCTCTCTCTCGGTTGCTTGTCGTAGGAGAGCCGACAATCCTTCGTTGCAAATCAGGAATAGGTATGGAATAAACTTCTCGCCTATTATGCCGTTTATAACTACTTCATATGAAGTAGTAGATACGCATCTCATAACTAGGTTTATCCACAGAACAAAAAACCTTAATTTGCTTATCATTTTCGAGACGAATTCTCATTCCACCCTATCGTATGCTTTACTCATATCAAGCTTCAAAGTGAAAAAACAAGTCCTTCATGTTCTTTTAATGAAAGTGTGGAGAACTTCATATGCCGTAATTATGTTGTTCATAATCAACCTTCCTGACACGAATGAGCTTTGTGCTTCGACAATGCATAGATGGAGGTATTCTTGCATCCGATGCACTAGCATCTTTGAGACTACTTTATAAATGACATTGCATAGACTAATGGGTTTGAATTGTGTTATTCGATTGGGATTTTTCACCTTTGTGATTAGCACGATTCGGATCTTGTTAACTGTCTCTATGTCCTCGTTACCATTTATCAAATTCACGCAAAAAGTTGTTATTTCTCATCCCACTATATGCAGAAATGCTAATAGAAAACAACTCATAATTCGTCTTCTCCATAACCATTCAAAGGGCTTATCGCTTTTACTGCTTTTGTGACATCATCATTAGTGAAAGGTTTTAGCAAGCTTTCATTTATATTTTCTGTGATCTTCTTATCGATTTCTAAAAACGATGCTTTCTCAAAACCTTCCCATTTTGATTCAAATAGTTTCTCAAAATAACTTTTGGCAATGTTATGAATGATTTCCTCGTTCTCCCATTTTTCACCTACTTCGTCTTCCATTAAACTAATGATATTTTTTTCCTTTGGGAAGCAAATATGTGGAAGATACTTGTGTTGTTGTCCATGTGCTTTAGCTAATTTGCCCTTGCACTCTGTTCCCAGTACAACTCTGATTTATCTGCTTCAATGTTCATTTGGAGTTTTACCTCTGTAATGTCTCCGAGTACATCATCAGTAGGCTCCAATTCTAGTAATTCCTCCACTCTCTTTTTTAATTCCTTCTTTGTTATCATTTTCTCTTGTTTTATACTCTTGAACCACTCTTCTAAACTGTGTCTCATATGTTCTAACTTTTTCGGGACTGCTCCTGGTCTCGATGTCTAAATTTTTTCGACCTCTTTCGCACATGATTCTTCCATAAGCCAAGCGGCTTCGAATTTAATGTGCCATTAACATGCTACTTTATTTTCTCCCTTTGTATCTAATAAAAGCAGGAATTGATTGAAAAAAGAGTGTTGTAGATGTGAAAGTTTTTGGTTTATAAATGAAAGTCATCATCCTGAGTTCGCCACACCTCTATCCAATCTCTATCTAATCTTGTTGTCCTCTTTCCGACCCCTTTCCTAAGTGAACAAGACTCATTGATAGCCCATATATGTTAATTCACAATCTTCAAGTGGTGTGAATTTTTTCAATTTGTTTTTCGTTTCGATCTAATCCTCCTTTTTTCAAACGAATATATGATCTCATTGAAATCTCTAATGACTAACCAAGGGAGGCTCGGATCGTAGTCCAGTTGACATAGTAACTGCCAATAATATCTTCTTCTATTCTCCTCCGGTGCACCATAGAAACTTGTAATACCCCAAATATAGGGTCGATGACCATAGTGAAATGATTAAAAATCTGGTGGGTTAATTTGAATAAATTAAAACGTACAAGGATTGATTTAGGAAATTGTGTTTAATACTTATTTTTTAATAATGGAAGAAT